GACTGGCGCCCGCCGCGGGTGTTGCTGCCCTCGGCATGCGTGTACAGCAGAGCGAGACGGAGACGCTCCAGCTGGACGTGGCCCCGGTGTTGGAGCCGTGGCTGCTGACAGCCCTGGGCGCCGGGCCTGTGCCGGCACCCTTCCCATCACGCCGCCAGGCTGCCTGCCGCTGGAGGGACCCCGAGAGCCAGGCTGAGCAAGGGGCCTCCGGGATCTCAGACGCTGGAGAGGGGCCCTGTGGCCACCACGGCCACTCCCCCAACGTCCTCCCGGACCTGACAGAGCAGTTAGAGCTGGGGAGGGACACGTGTGTTAACAGTAGTAATCGGAGCACGGTACACCGGCCCCTGGCGGGACCCTTGATGTCATCGCCGGACCCAGGAGAGAACTGAGGCACGACTAGCAGGAGGGGGACCCAGGCTGGCTTTCGGGCGTCTGCGGGGTGCCGGGGCCTGGGGACGCTGGACTGCCCAGCAGAGCTTCAATCCCTGCACGACGTCTCTTGACGCTTGCGAGCTGAGTAAGTGCCCTCAGTGACCAAGCAGGAGCGAAATTATCTTCTGGGACATAAAGAACAGAAACTTAGGCAAGGTGACACAGTCACACAGTGAGTCACTGTGCGCATGCGGGGAGGGAAACGCACTTCCGCTGGTCGGGGCCGCAGCCCGGCCGTCTCTGGGCACCGGCGTGCTTCCGCTCCCCCCGGCCAGGGCCAGCTCCTCGGGTGGCCTGCGTGTGTGGCTGAGGGCACCTGTCTCTCCGCCTTGGGTTGGATGACCAGCAGGGACAGGCCAGGGCTGGGTCCCGGGCCCGTTACTTGGGAGAGAGAGAAGGACTGGCTCAGCCTGGGACACACGTCCACGGCGACCCCAGCGAGTTACGGCCAGAGGGCTGGCAGGCGGGATACAAACACACTGCCAAGGACTGGCTTGGAGAGGAGAGCAGGGGCTGGGTAGGGCCCGGAAACCCGCGGGCTACAGGGCTTCTCATGGTAGGGGGCAATGGGCACCCAGCTCAGCCCCAAAATGTGGTGATATGGCAGGTCTGACCTCCGCCCGGGCCCCAGAACTACTAGCTGGGACCCCCGCCAGCCCTGGTTTACTCATCTTCAAATGTGGGAACCACCACACCCGCGCGGGGTCTCCCAGGGGGTCCCACCTGGCAGGTGCTGGGCAGGACGGTGCAGAGGCCAGTGCCCTTTGGGAGGCCCTCGATTCTGGGCAGTGGGCCGGGATGGTGCGCACCATCCCACCTGGACGGGGTACTGGGGTTTGGCTGGATCGCCGGAAATGGCACTGCTCATCTCCGAACCTGACCTCGCGTCTACAAAGTCAGGGTCCCAGGGCCTGCTCGGCCCTCCTACGGTGCCATGGACACTACGGAGGGCCGCCTGGGGTCCATTCCCCTGCTGCTTCCTGGCCACTTTGGGACAAGGATGAGGAGGGCTGTGGTGCCCTGGGAGCCCCACAGGAGGGCAGGGTGCAAGGGAGTTGGGCCAGCAGCTGTCGGCTGTGCTTTGCCTCACCTCAGGGAAAAGCGTGAAATGCATCTGGACAGCAGGCCCGGCCCCCACCCAGCATCCCCCCGCCAGCCGCCTCGCCTGCACACCCAGCTCCCTGGATCCAGCCCCAGGTCGGCCTGCACCCTTGGCAGGGCTAGCAGGCCAGCTGGCCTCAGCCAGCTGGGGGGCCAAGGTGGGTGGGAGCTGCCCGGCAGGGTGCCCAGGAATGCGGGGGTCCCCGGGGCTCCTGCTTTGTCTGTCGTGGCCTGCACTCTGTCTTCCTGACTTGGGCCCTGTCTGCACCTCTGTCTGAGTTTGGAGCCGTCTGTGAGTCTGGGTCTCGTTGTCTCATCACTTTGCGTCTGTCCAGATCTGCCTTACTGTCTGTCTATCTGTCTGTCCAGAGTCTGGGTTCCCACTCCAGCCTAGACTCTCCTTGTCAGTGCGGGGCTGTGCTCCCCGCCATCTGTGGACGGGGTGCCGGCCCCCTCCCCAGCTAACCGGAGAGTCTGCAGGGAAACCCCTGCCCTTTCCCCCTTGCCGCACCCCTTCCTCCACTGTTGCCCCGGTGCAGGGGCCCAGCCCCTCCCTTCCCATGCACCAACTGCTCAGATCTTGAGTCTCCGAATGAAAATCCCATGTCAAATCTCACACATTCCTGGAAGGGGAAGAATGGGCCCAGATTCCAGCAAGTCTTTGGCAAGGTTTATCCAAAAACTTTAGAAACGTGCACGTCATAAAGCTCTTCATTGCACGTTCCTGTAATCGTAAAAAGGAGGAAATAATGGAAACGGTGCCCTGTAGAGCCTGGCTGAGGAAGTCGGCTTCCCCACGCTACAGAGCACGACGGAGCCCAGAAAAGCAGCCAGGCTCCGCAGGGGTCCCTGGGGGTGCTCCTTGTGACCAGGCCACATGTGGTCCATGCAGGGATAGGCAGCCTGGGAGGCGGTGAAGGGGTGGGAAGTATATGCAGAATGCCATTCTGGCTTAAGAGAGGGAAAGAAGGATATATTCGCTTGTATTTTTAGAAAGAAGCCATGGGCAGTAAACCTAGAACTAAGCAAAATTGTTCCTTCTGGGACAGATCGGGGGGAGCCAGGAAGGGTGACCCAATGCACCTGGTTTTATGCTTTTGACTTTGGACCCAAATGTTCTCTACCATTACAAGGCAGAGGCTATATCGATTAAGGGGAAAAAACCTAAGAACTCATTGGAATAAATGAGTCTGAGTATCGAGTTGGAAAAGCCATCCTAGGAGTTATTTCGAGTGACTTTGAGACAGTCTTTTTACCATCCACCCCTAGGGGGTAAGAACAAAAAAGAGTAACACAGTAAGTACCATGTTCCATTCAATAGATGTGTTAGTAAAAATATTGGTAATGTTATTTTTAAATTATTGTATATAGTAGGGAAAAATAAATAAGGAATAAAGTCAACATAGATTCATGTTTTATTTTCCTCTTCCTAAAACATATATATATGTATGTATATACATACATACATACATATACATACATACCTACATATATATATACATTCATTCCTTCCCTGGCTCTGGTATCTGAAAAAGCCTAGAACCAATAAAAACCCAGGGGCCACTAACACCCCGAACGCTCAGACTATGTTCTCTACGAACCCCTTTCCACGAAGAGACTCCAGCTGTGGCAAAGGAACAGTAGGTACCGAGGTTAAGATGAGCTGGGACCTGCAAGCCTAAAAGTCAACTATTATCAAGGATTGGGGGGGGTCCCATCCAAATGACACAGGAGTGAACATGGAGGGGCCTCCAAACCCAGAATCCCAATGGGATCCTTTGAACACCCAAAAAGTACATTCAATATATAAAAATCCATGAGATCACAGTGATATTAGGAAACCACCACACAGCTCTTGGGGACCCAACATGTTGTGAAAACTGATAACTGAATGTTGGGGCCTTTCCCCTGCAGACTGTGTTTTAGGATAACCATGTAGGTATTAGGGAGGAGAGTTCCTTAGAGAAGGACCAGGGTTGAGAAAAGCAGAAGGGATTAGAGTGTTCAAAAGGTCACTCTATGCGACCCCTGATGAAATAATGGGTCTCGGGGACAACCCCACAATCTGTTAATTCGACCAGGTAGAGGGGCCAATGCGGACCTTTCCGGTGGAGGAACTGGGCCGACAGCAGCTGAACCCCACTGGTTATTCTCGACACGACGTCCAGAGTCTCAGTCCCTGGAAATGATGTGTGGGGACAAAACAGCAATAGAGGGCCACGGCCACGGCCACTGGAGGAGACCCAGCCAGCTCCAGGACAGGGAAAATTCTCAGAGAAATGACCCAGTTTCTTCGATAAACAGCCTGGTGGGGAGTGGGCGAGGAGAGGGGAGGGAACGGACATGTTCTAGAGTCAAAAAAGCCAAATGCGACTGGAGCCTGAGTTGAACCAACTGTAAAAAGGCATTTTGGAGCTGATGGAAGGAAGCTGAACACAGACCGGGTATTTTTGTTTTTTTAAGTCTTTATCTGTCCGATTTTGCACTAAACTGATACGCTCTGGGATTTCCTGTACTATCCTTAATTTCGCCCCCCACCCCACGCCATACCCCTGCAGAAGAGGGAGGGCAAATTAGAGCAGCGTGTGTAGGAGCCGGCGACCGCCGGCTCGCGGGAGAGGCCTGCTGCCATCCCGGAACGTCGCAAGCCGTCGTCAACCTTTGTAACTCGGACCAGGCCCTGGAGAGAACGGGTGTCGGTGACGGCTCCCCGCAGGGAGCTTTCATTCTAGACCGGGTTCACCGGCGCCCGGCTGGACGGTCGGAACGGCTAACCGGAGCGCGGCCAAGGACGCACGTCCGTCCTGTTTTGGTGTCTGTGACTTGTGCCGTGACGGAGTTTACAAAGGGCCTTGTCCTTTGCCCTAGAAAGCCCACTTTTAAGAATTTAGCTACAACAGTGCTTACCGAAACACATCCACTTGGAATATCTTTTTTCAGACCACCGCTATACGTGCTTTACCCCAACAAAAAACGTTTACGAGAAACCAGATCGGTTATGTCATAGGATGGGATATGCCTAGAAATCATGTCGCGGGAGAAAATGTAATGATATGGAAAAATAAGGAAGATCCTGTTAGGTTACAAAACCATATGTTCAGCTTGACTGTGTTTGGGTGAATTTAAAAATGCGTGAGCTCGGGAGAGCCGTGCTGGAAGGGCGCCGTTCCCTGAGAGCGTGCTACACCGGGTGCGGAAGGGTGCCCTCACGGAATCTTCTGGGAGCCCCGGGAGCCAGGCCGGGGCGTGCCGCTAGCATCAGCCCTTCCAGGTGTGGAGGCCAGGCCCAGAGAGGCAGGGGCAGAGCCGGCCTGGGTCTCCTCCTGCCCCTCCCTCCTGTGCGGACGCCCTGGGGTTTCGATGTCCCCCTTGCAACCCATCTCCCCGACTCCCCGAGCGGGGAGGGTTGCTTTGGCCGTGAGGAAGCGAGGGTGCTCCAGGGACGCCGGTGGCATGTGTTGCAGGCTGTTGATGGAGAAGGGGGCGGATGACAGCCGGGACAGTGGTCATCACTGGGGGCATCTTGGCGACTGTGATTCTGCTCTGCATCATTGCCGTTCTGTGCTACTGTCGGCTCCAGGTACTGCCCCTGGGCACTGAGGCGGGTGTGAGGAGGGAGCCCCCACCCTACCCACGAGGGCTGGGGCCCGGGAAGAGGGAAAGGGTCGGGTCCTGCAGAAGGTGCAAAGGAGACGGCCTTGGCCTGGGACCCAGATGTGGGGGCTCAGGACGGGGGCCACCGGGGGCGCCTCGCCTAGGAGAGGCCAGGAGGCGTAGGGAGGCACTTAGCCAGGGGCACGCAGCTGCTGAGCAGGGGAGCGCGGGGGAGCCCCTGGGCCCTCCACATCTCCCCGAGGGGAGGGGAAGCCCTGAGTGCAGGGCAAGGCAGCCCAGCCCAGCACCCACCTTCAGGCTGCCTGAGCCCTCTGTGCCTCAGTTTCCCCACCTGCAAAATGGCGATGATCCTTGGCCTGCCTCCTGCAGGGATGAAACCCACCAGGTCCTCTCTGCAGCGTTCGGCGGGGGTGGGGGTGGCGGGGGGTCTGGCCGGAGCGTGCTCCCTGCAACGTGGCCGCCCCGCGTGGGGGCTGGGCGGGAGCCGGGGCTCACCAGCCCTCTGCCTGCAGTATTATTGCTGCAAGAAGGACGAGTCGGAGGAGGACGAGGAGGAGCCTGACTTCGCCGTGCACTCGCACCTGCCCCCGCTGCCCGGCAGCCACAACCTCGTGCTGACCAACGGGCCGGCGCTCTACCCGGCCGCCTCCACCTCCTTCAGCCAGAAGACCCCACAGACCCGCGCCCTCTGCCGCAGCTGCTCCCACTACGAGCCGCCCACCTTCTTCCTGCAGGAGCCCGAGGACGAGGGCGTGCGCAACGGCGGGGAGCGCGTGGCCTACCAGAGCATCGGCCAGGAGGACGCGGAGCTGTCCCCCGGGGGCTTTGGGGGGCTGCAGGCGCTCAACCCCAACCGCCTGTCGGCCATGCGGGAGGCCTTCTCCCGCAGCCGCAGCGTCAGCACCGACGTCTGAGCCGCCCCGCCCGCCCCACGGCTCCCCAGACCATGGTGGGGTGTCCGGGGCACACCGGCCTGGCCCCAGGCTGGGACCAGGGCTCGGGCCAGCCCTCCTCACCTCCCTGTCACCATGGGGGCCCACCGGGGAGCTCGGTGGCTCACGGCAGGGGTAAGGCGCAGTGAACACCCGGGTGGCCACCAGAGGCAGGGGCTGCGCAGCCCGGGGCAGGCAGGCACAGGTGAGCCGAGGCTCGGGGTGAGCAGGTCACAGGACAGGGCAGGGCTCTAGGGTGGAGGCATCAGGCTCCCGACAATGTGGCTGCCCTGCCCCCGACTGTGGCCATCCCTGCCTGGGAACCTGACCCCGTCCCCCGATCCCTGGGCCTCTGCCTTCCCACCTGTTCAACAAGGAGTTGGCAGCTGCAATGCCACTGGCCTGGAAGCAGGTACAGACCAAGTATCCTGTCCTGGGAGGGGCCGCCGCCGCCCTCCCCCGCTCACACGCACCCCTGGCTTCCAGTGCCAGGCTGCTGAGACACTCTTTGGGCCGGGCCCTCTGCAGATGCCCTTGAAGAGCTGGAGGGGCCGCTCACAGCCCCAGCTGGCTTTCTGGTGAAAGAGGGAGGCACAGAGGGAGGAGGAAGCCCCGTGCCGACCACCTCCCTCAGGAGCATCCTTGGGACGCGCCCAGATCTGAAGTTCCTGGGGGCTGGGCAGACAGAGCGAGGATCAGGACCTGAAAGCCCCCCTGTCTCCCCGTGAGGCCTGGGACAGGCCCTCCCACCCACTGGGCCTCAGCCTCCAGGAGCCCTTCAAGCTCTGGTCCCCAGGGGAGACACCCCAAGCTCTCCCACCCAGCCCCTGTGTCTCAGCGGGGGATCTGGGAGCAAGGCCCGTGATCCTGCCCTCGGTCCATGGAGGACCTCTGAGCCCACTCGCCGCCAACCTCCCAGCAGGGCCGGGGTCTCCCTGGGAGCCCACCCTCCAGCTCCCTCCCTCCAGCTAGGGAAGCGATGCCCAATGGCCACCCCAGGAAAATGCTCCAAATCTAGGGGCCCCAGGCATGGCTCCCCCACCCAGCTCCCCCACCCAGCCAGAGGCAGCCTTTTCTGCTCTGCAGAAGGGCCCCAGAGCCCCCTGCCCTCTTGGGGCCCGCCACGGAGCCCCCAGGGTTGGGTCACCCCTGTCTGCCAGGGAGACAGGCCAAGCTCCCCAGTTAAGCCCCTTCCTAAAAAGCAAACTGATCTTTGAGGGTCCCTGAGCCGCGGGCAGCCTGAGCGCCTGCTTCTTGCCGGAGGCTCCGAAGGGTGGAGTGGTCGGGCGTGAGCAGAGCGGGGGAAGACTGACTGTTTTTAGCTCTCTGGATTATTTCTCCTTCTTCCTTTCTCCTCCTGCCTCAGTCTGGACACACCAGTGGAATCCGTCCCCGACTTTCCCGCAGCCCGAGCTCCCCGCCTTTGTGGGGCCTCATGACTTTGTTTTGTGCATTTGCTTGGGGGGTGGGCTGGGGTGGGGGGCGAGCCCCGGGAGGTGGCACTCCCTGCGGCAGTCCTGTTCCGGGTTCCTCTTTCCTTCTCCGGTCTCTAGTCTCTGTGTAGATTCATAGATCCTCTTGAAATGAGATAAGAACCCCTCCGTGTGAGCTCACACAGCCACACTGCGGGGACCTGCGGGGAGCAGGTGCTCCCTGGGAAAAGCGAAAACCAATAAAAGTCATCTCCAGCACCACTGCGCTGCCGCCACCTTCAGTCCCCCGGGGCTCCAGGCCAGCCCAGAGCCCTCCCGGCACTTCCTGGGAAGGCGTGGCGTGCAGCCCCGTGCAGGACGGAGTCGGCCTGTCCTTTCCCATCCAGGAGGATCAGCCATAGCACGCCGCGTCTCAGGGTGTTTCCCAGGGCGGTCCTGTCTATGGGCCGCGGCTGGGAGCCACTGGCCTAGACTCTGAAGTCCTGGAGCACGGGGCAGAGGAGACGGGCTGGGTCACCTGGGACAAGGGCTGGATGGTCTCTGGGCCTGTGCTAGCAGGGGTGAGATCGATGCCCGCTCCACGGGGCTCTTAGGGCGTGTGTGACACAGAGCCCCGCCCACAGTGAGTGCACGTGTTGCTGGAAAGGCGGGGGCCAGCCAAGGTGGGGGGAGGGAGAGGAGAGGATGACAACGGGGCACAGCAGCAGGGTGCATCGGGGGCCTAGACCCCTGGATTGAGGTGACCCACCTCTCCTGGAACTGAGTTGGGGACCCCACGGCCTCAGTGGCCTTCAACAACCACCCCCATAACAGCCCCCCTAATGCCGTCCTGAACACCGTGCGGTGACCCTGCTCTGGCCCCGGTTTGGGGAGCAGCAGGCCGTGCATCCCCGGGAAGCCGCCTGTCCCTGAAGGAGACAATTCCTGTAGCCTCCTGGGCCCTGAGGCCCTCTCACATCCAGAGGTGGGTGGACACCCCGGTCCTCCTTCCCTCCACCGAAGCCAGAGCAAGTTGCTTTCAGCATCTTCTCCATGGCTCGCTCCCCCCGGAAGCTCTGTGCTCACTGCTTCCTCTTCTGCACCCCTTCCCCACCCCTTCATCCAGGGGAAGGACTCCTATTGCCGGACTGGCCTAAATATCACCTCCTCCAGGAAGCCCTCCTGGGGCCCCTCCTCCCTCAACAAGTCCAGATTAAGTAGCCCTTCTACGAGGTCCAGAAATGGTAGCGACAGAGGGCACTCCTGAGTGCCCCACCTGCCTGATTTCCCTACACACACCCGGAGGCGGGGCCTTTTCTCCAGAGGTTCAGGACACGCAATCCCTCCAGCGCCCCCCGAGCCCCGTCCCCAGCTTCCACACCGGTGAGTGGGCATGAGACTGGCTCGGTTCAGAGTACATCAGAGTCCTGATGCTCCCTGTCCCCCTCAGCCCCACAGGGGCCCCACCTCTGTCTGCTTGCCCCTGACGGGCCCCTCTCCAGGGAGACGCCGCAGCACTCCCCGCGGCCTCAGCAAACCTTCCGGAACTCGCGAGCTGGACGGGCTGGATGGCCCGGCTCTCTGAGCCCGACTCCACCCCACCCCTCCTGCCGGAGCCACCAGGAGCCCGCGATGCCGCCATAAATACGACCACTTTATTGACATACAGGAGTACTGACTGACGGACGACCATACCCTAGCGTGAGAAACAGTGCCTCCTCGCGTAAAGTGCAGCGGGTCCCTCGTGCGCGACAGCTTCGTGTAACGAGGCAAGTGGATGCTAGTTGCGAGCTACGATTCCTCTGGAAGGAGCTCGCCTAGACGGGAACCGGGTCCGAGGTGGCCTCTGGACCCCCTGACCGCCCCAGCCCTCCTCGACCCCGTAGCCCCGCGGGGGGAGAGGACGTTCCCAGGCTCCTCCGGTGGGGCCGGGTGCCGGGCCGGGTGCTGGGGGGTGGGAACCACAAACACACCGTCCTCGTTGCTCCAAGAACGCCTTCCCAGGCAGGGCGGCTCTGCTGGGGTGCTCTCCGTCCCCAGGGGGAGAGCAGAGGCTCAGTCTTCACAGCCCGGCGCCCTCGGGAAGGGTGTCCATGGGGGGCCCCCAGGGGCGGGGCGCTCGGGTGTCTGAGAGGCGGCACAGGGCCTAGGAGTGCGGGGGTCTGCAGGAGCGGCAGCACGCCTTGCTGTAGTACCAGTGGCCACAGAGGTTCACCTTGATGGCCAGAGCACAGTTGGTGCCGGGCTGGTCCTGGCAGCTGTCATCTGGGGGAGGGAAATGGTGTGGGGGAGGGGAGGAGGGCATCAGAGGTGGCCGAGAGCTGAGAACTCAACAGGACTGGACCCCCACCTCGTCTCCCCATCTGCGGGAGCTGGGGCTCCTCGCAGGTGGTCCAGGCAGCGGAGCACCCGGGGTCAGGTGGCCCCTACCTGCCCATTATCCCAGGTGCAGGGGCAGTGGGGCCCCCCAGCCTGCCTCGGGCCCTTGAGCACTGCTCCTCTGCCAGCCCTCTCCTGCCCCTGCTCCCAGCTCCCCAGGATGGCCCAGTATCCCCCTAGGGGTTTGATCTGTGCACGGGAAGGGCAATGCCCAGAGCCAGGTCTGGAAGACTCCTTGACTTCACTTCCCAGGAGGCCCACAGGCACACAGGCGTCCCCTCTGCTGAGCAGGGACGAAGTCACTCATCACCTTCCCGGGTGCCCCTGCGGAGCCCAGCACCCAGCCCCTCTTCCAGGCACTCAAGCCCCACGTCGGCCCTCACCGGCCAGCCTCCTGCGCCCGGCCCCTGAGCTAAGCGCCCTATTCAGGCCGAGTCATCCTGGATTGGGGGACCTCACCCACAGCCGGCCCCATCTTCTGAAGCCAGATGCCCGTCTTCGCACGGCTCCCGGGGACCCTGAGCCCAGTCGGGTCTCACTTGCTGCCCTGCTCACCTCACCTCCCAGCCAGGCTCAGCCATTCTGCAGCGGGGGGGGGGCGGGGGGGGGGTGGAGCCTTGTTTCCCCGTAGGACTTGCCGTCACAGCCACTAAACCACTGAATCCTCCTGGCACCTCGGCTGACACCTGCTCACCCCTCGGTCTCTGGCTCTGCCCACCTTTGTCGGCCTCCCCCTTCTCACCTGGGGGCTCCGTAGGGCAAGGCTGCAGGTCACAGGCCTGCCTGCCGATGGGCTTCACCAGCGGGTCGCAGCCCCGGACGATGTCTGTCCCCTGGTAGCATTTCACGTCTCGCATCCGCACGCCCACACCACAGGTCTTGGTGCACTGATGAGAGGGACAGCATGACCTAAGCCCCCTTCCCCACCTGGCAAGACAGGGCCTCTGGCCGAAGAGGGAGCCCACCCCTCCCCCCAGGCTGCTGAGTCGCAGCAGGCCGGCCTGGGTGGGGGTCGCAAAGCCTGACACTCATCTCCACCCAGGACTGCTCAGCTTCACCATTCGCACCATGAAGTCGTGCCCCCCCCCCCCCGCTGTCCCTGGTGGGTCCTTTGGTTTCAGCTTTCCCGGGGCCCGTGGAACGGGAGTCTCCAGACTCACGGGGCCATGGCTGACGGAGAACACTGGTTTCCACTCCAGTAAAATAATTGTGTTTGTCGTGGGCCAGTTAAACCCATCTTCCAAAGTCGCCACTCCCGCCCTCAGCGCCCCCGTCCAGATGTTCCCCTTGGAAAACCCCGCTGAGCTACCCCGAACACCAGGGACATCTGCTGACCCCAGATGCCCCGCCGGCCTCCTGCCAAGACCCGACAGGCGGTGGATCCCTCTTGCTTCCCCAGCTTGGGTGACCCCACATCACCCAGGCACATCTGGGACCTGAGCCTTCGGTTCCGTA